CAGGAAAGGAGGGACTAGAGCACTTTTGGAATTTTTAAAACTGCACCCTAAGATTAAAGCGTGTTCAACAGAGGCTCATTTTTTTGACGTTGAGGAGAATTATCAGTTCGGGCCCGACTGGTATAGGCAAAAAATGCCTAAATCTTTGCCAGGGGATATAACCATCGAGAAAACGCCAGCTTATTTTGTGACTGATAAAGTGCCTGAGCGAGTGCGGCAAATGTCAACGAATGTCAAGCTTATTGTCACCCTTCGCGACCCAACAGAAAGGGCGATTTCAGATTATGTCCAAATTTTTACGAAGAAGCGTAAAAGGCCACAGTCGTTTGAGGAATTCATTACTCAGGGTAAAGAGCAAAAGATTCTGAAAACGTCAACTAAGACAGTACAAATTGGAGTGTACGTAAAACATTTGAGAAACTGGTTGAAGTATTTTCCTCTGTCGCAACTACATTTTGTTAGCATGGAGGAGATGAAAGTCAATCCGGCCAAGGAACTACAAGCGGTAGAAAAGTTTCTTGACATCGAGCCTTTTATCAAGAAGGAGCACTTTTATATCAACGAAAGCAAACATTTTCCATGTGTTACTTTCCCTGACAAGAAGAAAAGCGAAAACGCGGGGTGTTTGTCGGAGACGAAAGGAAGGCCACACCCTACTGTGAGAAATGATATCCGCACTCTTTTGCAGAACTATTATCGGCCTTATAACTTGGAACTATATAAAGAGGCGCAAAGAGATTTTCACTGGCCATAGAAATACTTTTGTATCACCAAACTCGTGGAATAGTTTAAATTTTATAGCAAGCATAGTCAGTCGATCCATACATCCGACTATTTAATATTATTATTACAGTGCCATTGGTAACCAACTGTGTATGTCTCATATGCCAAACTTTCTGCTTAAAGCTTTTATATGCAATTGCCTTCGACTGTTTTATCACTTTCCATATGATGATCGCTTAAGAGGCCCACTCTTGTTAGTGATCTACACCAATTGCGACCACCATTTGCGAGGGCTTCGACTGCGGTTTATTTCTACACGAACAGAACCTCTAAAGGCTGCGAGTAAAACGATCAGAGGTGAAAAAAACAACAACACAGCGATAGAACAGTTCTTGTTTTTGATGAGGAATAGTTGAAACCGTTATGTCTGTTGTTAAGATGGCGGTCATTTTGGCTTGAAGACATGACAAGACATTTGAGCTTATTTATGTCAGTAGAGTTGTTCATTGCGCTTGATCATGAAGGAGAATGAACAATGTTAGTATCCAAGACAATCTTAATACCGTAACATCATCATTGGGCGACTGTGGCCATGGTGGCTAAGAGGGCGGACACTACACACGCTCGTCCGAATAATCTTTTTTGATATAGGGTAATGATATCTATTATAATAAGATGTTTATGGACTCCACACTGATAGTTTAAGTAAAGGCTAAATATTCTTTTACAAAGGATGACGATAAAATGAGCTGAGGAACAGCGTAACTGACTAGTGACGTAAACAAATTTTAAAAGCAAATACGAAGAAGAAGGCTTTTGACTAAGCAATAACATAATATGAACTGCTGAGAATACATATCATACATATCGCCATATTTTGCAGAATACCAGTTGTATTAGGAAACCGCAGGTCATCTCGGGGGGGGGTGTGCGCACCCCTGCACCCTCCCCCTAGATCCGCCCCTGCTGAGAAAATGCGCCGCTAACAAGGCATTCTTTACAACTGAACAAAAGACAGTCCACGGACGCCATACAGTAAGCTGCGTGATTGTCAAGGTGGTAGTGGGGACCCTCCGATCCAAAGCCCCCATAGAGGATATGCACCCTCCCCAGATTTATCCGCTTACCGTATGAAATTAACATGGTGGCCTCTCGGTCTATCTGAAAGGTAAAGGTAAGAGCTAAATTGATTGATACCCTTTCCAGTGTTCGAATAGGATGTTCTTGATGCTCTCAGTATTTTATTTGTTTGCCCTCTCCCTCCTAAAGCTTTCTTGGCACTTTGGTTTCATCGGCATGGTTTGTGCAAGCTGCTGTATGGTAAATTAACCGTTTTTTGTTTGGAAAACAGTATCTAAACAATTTGTTCTGCGTCCGACGATTTTCAAGCGGGCACTCGTGTTGCGTTTTGAAAAAAAGAGAGACCACTCGTTATCTAAGGCCCCGGCCCAGTTGTTCGAAGGCCGATTAGCGCTAACCCGAGGATAAATTTTAATCCGGGTTTCAACTTTTTCTCCGTTTTATTCGAAGCATTTTCTCTGGTAATTTTCTCTATACTTTTAAGATCATCCAATCATCATATTGTACACAAAAAGAAAGTCTGAATTCAAATTTCGCACTAACCCTGGATTATCCTAACCTAAACTTGTACAAGTCGACCTCTCATAAGTTCTAAAATTGAGCGAAGCGAGCTACAATGCTTGAGTTCACGCAGCGACTGAGCGAGCAACGAAGTCTCGAGCTAAAATGGCATAACCAACGAGGAAAAAAAAAGGACTTTTAGAAAGTCTAATCCTAACCCAGCTTTGAGCAACTCGGCCCTGAAGCGGTGAAAAGTTGGAGTTCGCTATCCATGGACCACTTTAGAAGCGAGAAGGGAACTGCAGGAACCGAAATGCGTCCCGCAAGTGACAGCTCTGGGATAGTTACTTCGGACACACTATGGCCAAATACTATGGCCAATACTATATACATACGTCTCAGGACATTATACGTAGGGCTTACATGAAGTAGTAACCAATGTTTTTCTCCTGAACACAGTCCTAGATTTCTTTGCGAAACTTAATTCGCCCCAGTTTCCTCGTCTTTCTTTTTTTATAGTGGTGGATTGAATTTCGCTTGGTACCAGAAGTTTCTTTGTTCTTAAGTGCAGCGGAATGCATTGGTCAGAGACGTGTGAAAAGTCTTGGCACCCAGAGTAACAATTATGTTGTCCTTCAGCAGCATATTTGAAAACAATAATATTGAGAATGAAATGAGGCCTTTCACTATCTTTGAAATTAAAAAAATCCTTTATTTATTCCAATTTCAATTTAAACGGCAGTTAAAGGCCTCATCTGATTCTCAATATTCAGAATATTCTCCATCCTCGTCCCCCGAGGCCGTCTTGTTAAGCCGAGTGGCTCTGGGGACGAGAATGGACAACGTCGGGACCAGCCTGTGAACAGGCTCTCTGTTTGGGGACAAAATAGCAAAAAGAATATCAAAGGCCTGTTCACAGGTTACGTCGGGACCGGCTCCAACTGTCCGTGTCTGGTGTCTGCTTGTCTTATAGGAAGTTAAAGGGGCTATGCATGATGTCACCAAGATTTTGCTGTTTTAAGTCAGGAGCCTATCAAATTTGATGGGCTCCTGTTTAAGTCAATTCTGTGAGTCTGTCATTGCTGAGTGCTTTTACTCATGCACAAAATGCTCTGTTACAGATATGAAGAAGATATCAAACATATGTCACCATGAGGGAGAAGTAACCATAAAGGCACGAGGAAAGTTTTTTTCATGTTCGCGCTTTTTCAATCCCCGCGGACTCTAGTTCCAGGGTTTAACTCGCTCTCCACCATCTGAACGCCGCGCTCTACTATACTATCTGAACGCCTAGTCATGGCTAAACTTGACAAAGTTGGCCCAGTTTCAATCCAGGTCCATCCTTGCCATCTTTTGCAACAGAAGACAGTAAAATGCTTTTATGCCTAGATATAGTCTTATCACGACTAGAGCATTATTCTTGGAATTCAACTGATGCAAAGACACGCTTTAGCTTTTGAAAATAAAGCAAATAGCGTGGCAACAACAATTTATTAGGAATTTCCATACATATTACATGGCATTATATAAGTAAGAAAAGGTAACAATTATTTCACATCATTTCGTCTTAAGCAAAGTTTCTTGCCTAACATTCATTATTCGAAAAATAAAAGAAGAAATAATGAAGTATACATATAAACCGATCATATTATTTCCTTTTTAGAGTTATGATCAAAATTATTTAAGCAAGGATAGCTTGTAGTGATTTTGTTGTTAAGTTGTAATTGAAACTTATCATAACAATACAGCAAAAAAGTACATGCTTTACACTCTTTCAATTTCATTTGAATGGCAGAAAAAAGCAGCTTCTTTGATGTACTGGGTTCTGTTTGGCGTCGTGTGTCTACCCGTTTCAATGTGTAATTTATGATTGCTTAGACGGAATTTATTAATGGCAATTTTGTGTTGTGGACTGTTAATTAGATTTAAAAATTCTGTTTTTCTTATTTCTTTCTTGAATGAGGAGTAGAAGTTTAGTTTCGGTTTGCGTTAATTAGTATTAATTGGTGGTCTTCATAAACTTTCTTCATGTTTGACTTGAACTGAGTAGTTATGATATTTGTAACGTTATTTTTCGAGTTGATTGAACTTGGGTTATATTTTTTCAATAATTCATCAATTCTGAGCGCCAAACTTTTAAGTGAAGTCTGCAAAACGACTGAAAAACCGCTTGGACGAGGACCGACATCAGGTAGTTCCCGTCAGAACGGAGTTGAAAGTAGTTTAATTCCGTCTTTGGTTTAAACTTTATTTTCCTCTTTTGTTTATGTCTTATAAAAGAAAATGAACTTTAAACAGAGGAAAATATTCAATAAACGCAGTATAAAATTTGGTCGACAATATTAACGGGAGAACAATATAAACCCCGTCAGTGCTATAGTATATGAAAAAATTCGTGGCGAAAGACTGAAAAGGCAACAGAAAATGGGAATCTTTTGCACAAAAGTTTCGAAATGAACTGATAAAATTATTTTAAATTTTTCCTTCTGTTCAGCAAGTAACATTGGTGATCCTAGTGTGTCAACTGGCTTTCTAGATGGCTTGCGTTACATTATCAATCACTTATTACACTGTCACTATAAAACGCTTTAAAAATGTGCTGAACGTCATCCGTCCCGTAATTCCTAGGAGTGATATTGCAAACATAGGGCAAAAGAAAACTCAACCCGTCTATCGTCAGCTATAAATTGTTCAAAATGCGGGAAATCGTTCATCTTCAAGCTGGGCAATGCGGTAACCAAATTGGCACAAAGGTATTGCGTTCATTGGCTGAATAAATGTGTTTTTATTGATTTTTTTTAAGAAAACTCACGTTTCGTAATTTGGGCATTTCAGTTTTGGGAGGTCATTACAGACGAGCACGGAATCGATCCAACTGGCTCGTATCATGGAGACTCTGACCTTCAGTTGGAAAGGATCAATGTGTACTTCAATGAAGTTACAGGTGTTGTATTTTGTTAAATCGATCGTTTTATCGAACATTTTGGTTTCGTCTCATCATAAAGAAGGCGGTGTATATGATTTGTATTTTGTAATATTTGGCCTCTTCTGACATACTGTAACTTGGGGAATCGGCAATTTTATAGGTGGAAAATATGTTCCAAGAGCTTGCCTCCTCGATTTGGAACCAGGCACAATGGATGCAGTGCGAGCGGGTCCTTTGGGGCAAATCTTCAGGCCCGACAACTTTGTTTTCGGTGAGTAAAAGCTGTGAATTTAAATAGTTAAAAACTAATTAGTGTTAACAATTAAACGGAAATAAGTCTGTGCAATGGGTCACGCGCCAATATCTACATGTGAAATTAGAATGTTCTAAAACATACTTCGCTGCGTTTGATTCTAGGTCAAAATGGTACGGGAAATAACTGGGCAAAAGGACATTACACCGAAGGAGCCGAGCTTATAGATGCTGTACTCGATGTTGTCCGCAAGGAAGCAGAGGGCTGTGATTGTCTTCAAGGATTTCAGCTCACGCACTCTTTGGGCGGTGGAACCGGCTCTGGAATGGGAACTCTGCTCATTTCAAAAATAAAAGAAGATTATCCCGACAAAATCAATAACACATTCAGCGTTGTACCATCGCCCAAAGTATCGGATACCGTTGTTGAACCTTACAACGCCACACTGTCGGTTCATCAGTTGGTCGAAAACACTGATGAAACATTCTGCATCGACAATGAAGCTCTGCACGATATATGCTTCAGAACTATGAAGCTCACGACACCAACTTATGGCGACTTGAACCATCTTGTCTCAGCCACAATGAGCGGTGTTACGACTTGTCTTCGCTTCCCCGGTCAGGTAACGACGGCTCTATGCCGCAGCAAAGTCAATAAACGATATTTGGGTAGAGCAAAAAAACTGCTTAATTTTTTTTAGTTTTTTTTTTTGCGAATTCCTTGTTGCTTTGTTCTATTATTGATCAAACTGGTTCAGACTCTGGCAGATGTACTGAAAGAGGATGAAATTTTCCTTGAGCGTATGCTGGACACTCGTTTTTCTCAACATATATTTCGGGTCACATGACTTATCACGTGACCAAACTGTTCTTTTCTGCGTAAGCCGTTGTAAAAGAAGCATCGCACTAGGGGATAATACCAGTAGTCAGTCACCCAGTCTATCTATAAGACGGAACGTCCTTAGTCTCAACTGGATAATCCAGATTTATCAAAAAAGTTTTTGTACTATCGATTTAATACATGACTGTTACATGGTCATCACTCGTAACTGGCCTATGTTAATCAAATATCCTTTATTAATCTTATTGTTACTTTCGTTATATACAAAACTGACACGGTTTTCTTGGATTTCCCAGTTGAACTCTGACCTCAGGAAACTGGCCGTTAATATGGTTCCTTTCCCTCGTCTTCACTTCTTCATGCCTGGATTTGCCCCCCTCACCAGCAGAGGATCGCAGCAATACCAAGCACTAACAGTGCCAGAACTAATTCAGCAGATGTTTGATGCCAAGAACATGATGGCTGCATGTGATCCAAGGCATGGTCGTTATCTGACGGTGGCCGCCATGTTTCGTGGCCGTATGTCCATGAAGGAAGTGGATGAACAGATGCTGAATGTTCAAAACAAGAACAGTTCATACTTCGTGGAATGGATCCCCAACAACGTCAAGACCGCGGTCTGTGACATCCCTCCTCGTGGACTGAAGATGTCTGGTACTTTCGTTGGCAACTGCACCGCTATACAGGAGCTATTCAAACGAATTAGCGAGCAGTTTACTGCTATGTTTAGGCGAAAAGCTTTCATGCATTGGTACACTGGTGAGGGAATGGATGAAATGGAATTTACCGAGGTAAGCATGAGGTCAACACTATTCCACTTTGAACTTGGACTGCGACAACAGGGCGTGGCTAGGCGTTAAAGGCGTTCCGTGTTTTGATAACTTATTTGAGCAAAACGCATCTGTAAACGTTCCGTAAGAAACCTAGTTATGGGTTGGGAGCGTAGATCGTCCTTTTCAGCTGTTAGGGTGGCATAGTTAATACGAATTTAGATTGCTGCGTTTTGTACAATGCGACAGCTGCCCTTATATATATCAATTTACGGTTTAGGTCTTTGTGCTTTAATACCTAATTGCGGGCTTCCTCCCCACCCCCCCCCCCCCAAAAAAAACAAAAACGAGGATCCATAATTTACAGAAAGGACCGCCAAGAAAACGTTATTATTTTTCTGTAGGACAAGAAACAAATTGCCTTGCTTTGATATTAGGCAGTAGTTTGGCTGTTTCTTCTTCCCAAAACATGTGAAATTTTTCGCCGTTTTTTACAGCTCTACCAAAACAAAGCAGCCTCGTTCCCAGGGCTTATCCTGTAATATTGACGTCATTTTATCGTGTCGCAAACTTCTCCGCTTTTGAACACCAACATGGCCGCCGTGTTATAGCCCATTTCTAACAAGTTGCTCCAAGCCTCTTTTTCAAAGCGAGGCTAAGCGCGAAGCCATTGATATGCAAATGATATTTATTCTCATGCAAATAATTATTTTTAACCGGATGTTATCTTAAATGTAACCAGTTGCTTTATTCTGTTTGCAATTGCAGGCCGAATCTAACGTGCATGATCTTGTGTCAGAGTACCAGCAATACCAAGACGCTACAGCTGAGGAGGATGGCGAGTTTGAAGAAGAAGAGGAAGAGGAGTTTGATGGGGCATAAAACCCACCAGAATGATGCAAACCAAAACAAAGCGCGTATTTCCAAAGCTTATGATAAAAACCAGAGTATATTATAATGCGAAACTCATCTTAAAGCAAGAACAAAGTTAATAAAATAAATAAATAATAAAGAACGATTTTTGAGGTAGCACATTTACGTAGTGGTTTTTCGTCTGCCATTCTTGGTCGAATTGGAAATAGAAAATGTTGGGTTTCGAGGAAAGGGGAAAACCGGAGTGCCCGGAGAAAACCTCTCGGAGCAGCAAGGGAGAGAACCAACAACAAACTCAACCTTCATATGGCATCAACACCGGGATTTGAGCCCGGGTCACATTGGTGGGAGGTGAGTGCTCTAACCACTGCACCTCCCTTAAAGTCCTTTCAGTTAACACTGAAAAGGAAATTAAAACCTTGGCAAAAGCACATCGGAAATAACCTAACTGGTAGAAATATCAAATGCGTTGGTCACAAGATAAAAGAGTGGTTAACACTTAAAATTGCGGTCGTCAGACCGTTTTCTAATTTTAGTTATGGGGAGGAAAATTTCGAATGAGGGCGATATTCTTCTCACACAAATGTAACTCGTTTTCACTCTTTTGGACACAACTTCGACCCAGTACCACTGACAACCCCAAAATGCGACACTTTAGAAACGACAGAGAAACTCGGTCGAGTTAACTTTCGCAAAGACTTCGAGGACTATTACTAGTGACAGGGAAAAAAAATTGGCTAGGAGCTGACCGGCGCGTCCCAAGTAACGTTTCCAGAAACAATTGCGGGACACGTTTCCGGTCCAGTTCTAATTCCCTTCCCTTTTCTTAAGTGGCAAATTGCCTGTTGCTTTAAAGCCGCGTGATATTACACGCTCTTTATTAGTACGTGATTACTGCTAGTATACTTTATCAATGTATTCCTCTGACTAGTTTAATTTACAGGCACTTCACTCAAACAATTGAATAAAAGATAGCATGGCTAAAAATGTAAACTTACGGGAGGCAAACAGATTTGTTTGGTTATTTACAAGTGTGTCCGAGGGACAATCGAAGAAGGATTACAGGCATTGGCCTCAACCTAAAGTACGGAGCCTCAACAACTAGAACACGATGTTTCCTTGTCACTGTTCATCTCTAGTCTTTCCCCAAACCAGTGTTAAAACACTGGTTTGGGGAAAAATGTTTCACGAGCGTCCCAATGAGCGGCAATTATGTAATTAGACGGAGCGCTCCTTTCACGCCCCTTTCTCTGTCGGCGCTCCGTTTTACGAGTATTTAAAGCTACTTAAAACTAAACGGAAAGGAAAAAAGTCGAGACAAGGATTTGAGTTCAGACCTGGGAGTCGAACTCGACACCTGTCGCAAATTACCTCGAGCAGCTGAACTGGGACTTCTTTATAATCAGAAAAGGGAAACAGCCCCTCTTAGAAGTTAAAAGGATGAATTTTAGTTCACTAAAATTCCCTTTTCCGAACACCTAACAAAAGCGCTTTGAGGACGTGGTTATATTTTGGTATTTGCTGCTTGGAACTGGCGCCGTGTTATAAATACATTGTACAATTTAAAATACCATATGATCACAATTCTATCAAATATGAACAGAATACGATATTTAACAAAAACTTCAAGCACTGGATATTTGTGATGAATGGCTTGTCTTGAAGCTTGGTCACGTGATCTTCCTGAAATTTGACGTCACTTTACTTCAGGGCGAAAACGTCCTTTTCCTTTCTTTGTTTGTTTTCCAAATTTCATCGCTGTTTTTTCCAACTTGCTTACTTTGTAAAACGTGGCGAATCATCCCGGCTTCTTAAAGACCATATTCAAGTATTCAAGAGAAAGAAAAATTCGTCGTCGTGTTTTCACCATCCTCCATTAAATGTGAAATTGGCGTTGGTTGTGCCAAACCTGGATCAGAAGGCCCCAGACGTGACATTCCAGGAAATGTTCTTTCAGGAGACAGCTTGGATTGGTTCCCTTGATCCATTATATTCGTTTTAGTTCGTGACTTGTATCACATTTGATTGACAATAGCTTATTACAGAAGCCTCATGTTGCTCATGTCTGCGTTGCTCATGTTTTCTTCACTGACTGAGCATTCTTGAAGACCTGCTTTAACTGCTTGTCACGATCGCTATTATCGCACCCTGTAAAGAAAATAAAGAGTTAATACATGTGTGATCCTTAATTGAACTGCGGAAGGGAATTCTCCTTCCCGTTTCGTTTCCCTTTGCTTGCCCCCTTGCAATCGGGGTAGGAATACATATCGTGTATGAGAACATTTTGTGAAAGACAAAAAGGGGAAAAAAAAAGGGGAACAAGAAAAAGATTATGAAACAGCTGTAGCAATTTAGTTCAGGTGTAATAGATTTTCGGCTTGTTCTCATGACCCTCCCCACGTATGGATTACCCGTTTTTCTATCGGGCAGTGAGAACGCGATTTCATCGTCATCGTTTTCATCATTATCATCATTGTTCAGCTGCAGCTTCCTCAAGCTGTTCATATCCGTGGCAAGGTTGGCTTCTTAGTCAGATGAAAGTTGGCCATAGTCATCGCCCTAAATGTATTGCAAACGAAGTCTTCTGTTGCCCTGGTTACCCAGAACACCATAAAAAATTGTTAACATATAATTATACGGGCCAAAAACAACAACAAAAAGGAGATAAAACCAAAAAAAAATTTAAGACATTTAGGTGTTTAAAAAGTAATTGCTAGTACTAATGCCTTGTAAACAGTGTAAAAACAAAGTTAAAGTTGCTTGGTGTTGCAAGGTGTTTTGTCCCGTAGTAGTTTCCCCTTGGGCTGCGATTATTTCAGGTAAGAGAATTGTACACTGTGTCATTAAGCCAGTTAAAAACTTACTGACCGTAGCTATGGATGATATTGATACAACGACCTACCGAAGAACGTGTTGGTCGGATAAGAAGGATTTGGTATACAGTCCGCCCCACTGGCATCATCCATGTACACTGGTCCATCATTCCACATCAAGTCAAAACCTCCCACACGCTTCTCCCGTCCAGTTAGTCTTGCAATACACAATGAATGTAAATCAGTAACACATGAAGTTACCATAAGAACTATTGTTTTCCTTTAGATTATTTTGTGATAAATAAAATCAGGAAACTTTCTAAAGTTTAATCTCAACAACTTTTGTTTATGATCTCGGCAAATTGAAATGTCTATGTAACTAGTACCAGGATTACTTGTTTTTAAAGTTGCGTTTGGGACTGGGTCAGTGATGTGCCAAATTACACCATAGGACACTTTTGGGGACAAACAACAAAACAAAAACAAACTTTATTTATAAACAGATAATAGAGAGCCTTAGATTCGAGGACGTCTACGAGTACGAGATTTTCTCAATAGTAAGTGGTGCTCGCGCGTGAACCAGTTGAAGCTTCACGTATACGGCAAACAGCAAACGTCTGATTCAAGTTGAGAATTTCTCAAAATAGAAAACGAGCACATAGAAACAGTTCAAAACAATTCTTATGGATAAAAAATTGCGTGAAACTACTGATCTATGTCTAGAAATAATGAACAGTAAACGACAAGTAATGAAGAAACTTTGTCACATGGTACAAATTGACGTTTGCCGTTTGACGAAAACGTGATAGCCGACGTCATTCTACAACGGGATTTAGCGAGAATATCGTGGTGGCGGGAACAAGTTATCAAATGCGACGTAAGAAGTTTTATCATTTTGCGATCGGGAGAGGGTGTAACCTCCTTCAGTATACAAAGTAAAATGAAGCTTTCAGGGGTGTCTTTTAAATGTCGTACTCGTACTTGTTCGTGTCCTCAAATCTAAAGCTCTCTAATATTACAGAAGCACAGCCCGCAGCTAGCAAGGCTATTCGAGGCGGGTCAGTGCGTGCAAAATGAAATTAAGATTAACGTTACAGTTCACAAGAAATGAAAATGAAATAAATGAAATAAAAATAGAACAAATCTGGACCCAGTTTCCCGCGCTACCTCGTAATAGCCAATCAAAAAACGACGTTTCCAAAAGCAATCCCATTATGCAAGTCGAAACAACACCGAGCTTATCTCACGCACAACCTGGAAACGGAAGTGTACTTGGCACTTCAACGACCAAAAGAGTTGAACTGGTGACTACCAGGAAAAAGCCACAGCTAGTGCTCAGAGAGGGACTAAAACCAACCTCGTTTTCAAGGTTCTCTCTTCTTTACGCTCTCTGGAGCCTGGATCGAGGGGACGAAAAGAAGAGAGATCCTGGCTGCTGGGTTAGAATTAAACTAGGAAGTCCAGCACCACCACTATTTGGCCACGTTGTTTCGGGTTTCCTTGAAAAACAATAGCCTGCATAACAGGCGTTATTTTTTCGCGTTTTTGGGCGAGCGAAGGCAAGCGCGAAGCGAGCGAGGAGTGTCAGACACGCGCGTTAGCTCATCGCCCATGTCTGCTGCTCCTCGCTCGCTTCACGCTTGCCTTGGTTCGCCTGAAAAGCGCAAAAAAATAACGCCTGTTATGCAGGCTAAAATTGTTGTGGTTTCTATCCTGAATAATATCTCACTTTACACTTCGTCTTATCTTACGTGCAAAGAAAATAGGCTGCGATATAATTTCTTCACCTGTTTTCCATGTCTACGATGTGCAACATATCCTCCAACAGACGACACTTAAGCTCGTAATCAGACTGACTGCTGGCAGTGAGAGATGGTGAAGCGTTTATCTCGATCAGCCAACTGTTACAAGAAAACGTAAGAGCGTGACGTCTATTGGCAGTGAATATACATAATTATGGCATTACTTACTAAAGGATATCTGCAGTATATGAGCAGCCAGTAGACCATTTTCGACATATTACAATTCACACTTAGCTCCGAGGCTTAAGGGAATAAAACAAAAGAAATCATCTGGAGGTTAGCGATGAATAATACATTTCTTTTGTTTTATTCCCCCAAGCCTCGTAGCTAACTATGAATTTTAATATATCGAAGTCTATCCACAGGATATCTGCTATATATCTGCAGAACATTTGCAGTGTAACTTCAGGACATTTAGAGCACATTTGTTGTTTCTTTCCGTATGAAATTGCATATATTACAGTATACACGTCATATTAATTGCCTTGAGGTACAATAACCCACACTCGAAATATTAAAATTCTAACATGATTCCGAGGCTTTGGGGTCAAAATTGCAAATTTTTCATGACTCCATTGTCTCGCAATTCCCAGAGGAGACTTGAACACAAAGCAAACCAAACTGTAGTTATTAAAGTGGAATGGTTTGGAAACTCGTTAGTCTCCCTTGTTATAGGTTTTTGTTAGCTTTTTTTGACCTGACCGTGCACAACGTTCAATAGCATTTCTATCACTTTGAAATTACTGACCAATATAAACATCGCATTAATTTATTTAGTCATAATTTATGAACAAAAAACAAAGGATTGTGCACGGTCAGGGAGCTTCCAACATAAACTAGAGCACCTTGTTTTCAACTTTCCTAACCAGTCTTCTCTACTAACTATGACCAAACCAAATATAGAAAAATGACCATAAAGCCTGGGAGTCATATTAGAAGTTTAATATAGCGAACGTGGGCAATTGACCAAGATCTAGATTCATTTAAAACACGCATTCAGAGACATTTGCAAGTACGCTTGCATTCACTTGTGGGGAAAACTTCAATTACATTTGTTCGCCACTTTAGAAACGAGGGAGAGACTGGAGCCGAAATGTACCCGCAATGGTTTCTGGGATCGTTACTGTGCGTTACTTGCGCTGGTCAGCTATTGGCCATTTTTTCTCGGCCCTAATAACAGTCCCAGATGTCCTTGCGAACGTTTGTTCGGTCTAGTTTCCTCGTTTCTAAAATGGCAAATGCACTTTAAGAACATCTGCAGAAACTTCGCTTGGTATCTACATTTACAACAGCAAGCATGCACGCATGTGTCATGAGCCAAATTACACGCTATTTTGGCTGCTTCATCCACCTGCAGACATATCTAAATGCGCCTACCGTAGTAAAGATATATGATGGCAAGTCCGTGAGCTACTTACGGTTTAAGTTTAGAGTCAAGTAGAATATCGTAGCCATATCTGCCAGTTAAGTTATCAAGGGAAAGAACGAGATAAAATTCGAAGGTAGGAAGATAAAATAGCTGGTACCATTAATAGTTGCTATGTGGGTTCAATCTGTTAATTCTCTCCCTTGCTCAGAGAGGTTTTTCTCTGGATACTCCGGTTTTCCCTCTCCTCAAAAACAAACACTTCCGCAAATTCCAATTCGATCTGGAACGCACGGACATGTGAAGTGCACTGACACTATTAGCGCTTCGTGGGCAAACAAGTTTATAATTACTATGAGACCCAAAAGGTATTATTTATCTTTACAATTTGCTTCTGTGTTTGGGATTTAAGAGTTAGGTAACATCTTACCGTTGTTATGTCTTTTTATTAAATCACGCTGTACTGTAATAAAAGGGGTAGCCTACATAACAGGCGCTTTATGAGCCAAGCGAGGCGAACGCGGCATTTTGCTCGAACCAGGCTATAAAAGGGGTTGCTTTGAAACGTGACCAATCAAAGCGAAGAATCGCATTAAAATGTCGGGGATCAAGATTGTGTTTGCGATGCATCTTGTTAAAATTGACTGTGTTGGCCTGCAGTGCCATCATAAATTAGAAATAAAAATGATATAACAGAGAAAAGGTCTATCTCAAGACGTCACCGGAACTGGATAATTTAAAATGGAGACTCAATGTATGGTCAGAGTTGTATGGTGAAAGTCGATAACCACAGAAAAGCTCCGGATATGTCTTACGTTAAAAACGTTTTCACAGACAGCTACAATAAAAGGATACAACTCGAAGCAGTGTTTATCATTTATCATAACTTTTTGTACGGCTTGTAAACTCTTGATGAAGATATTGTCCATATCTCTCATCAAAGTTTCAACCTGAAACAAAGAAATGCATACTTAATTCAAGTGTCCATGTAATTACAACGATAGTACTAATTGAGGGCACTATTTTCACATCTCCTAATGGAAACGGAATCGCAATTTCCACGCGGTCTCGCCCCGTATGTAAGAGAATCCAAGTCAGTCTTGGATTCTGGATTCTTCGCCGACGATTCTGAATTCAAGGTGAAGTTAACGGTAAGGGGAGAGAGTCCTTTTTTACAACGGTAGCTTAAAATAGTCATCTGAGCCTTGTTCCGCTAAACCTTGGATTAAAATTTTGTTCCTATGTATTGTTTAGAGCAACATTTTGTGTTATCATTACTGTACCTCGGAGTAAAGGCACATAACAACAGTATTTTGTAAGCTCGAGTTGCATGTTCTTACAGAAAAAAACCTTGCTTAAAATTTGGCTTTATCCTGGGTTAAACTTAATCATCTTTTAAGGAACCGGTCCCTGAGTAACAAACCTGAGGCCGACAAACGGACTGTATCGGTTAAAAAGCTACACGGAAAGGAAAGAAGTCGAAAGAAGGAGTCGGATTCTTTTTCAGTGAAGCCTGGATTCCGAATTCCTTGAGCTGTTTTCCGGATTCCAAAGCCCGGGATTCCAAAAGCAAAACTTTTCCCGGGTTCCGGAATGATTTCCTTCGATGGGGCGAGAGGTCTTCCAAACAAGGCGAAAGAGTATCAACTCTTGTTCCTACCTTGTCTATACCATGTTTTGCTACAAGATATCTTCTAAGCTGTTGTAACGACCACTTGCAACCCTGGAAATAGTTCAAAAGTAAGAATTTTCATGCTACATTTGTTTCTTATATTTTGAGCAAGTTGCATGATATCCTTGATCGACGTTACGTCATTTTTGTTAAAATTGCGTTTCATAAGAATGACTACAATAAAAGGTTTTACTATTAAATAAGGTTACATGAAAAGCAAACAGTACGATGGTTACCTTTTCAGCATCATAATCAGGGGCTGTTTTTTGAATGGCAACATTAGTGAGGTGCACATCTACAAAGAACAAACGTCAAGGATGGATAGAGCGATTTTCGTATGACCTTGAAATGAAAACGCGCGAACAAAACAGAAACAACAAACGAACGGAAATAGAGCGATTTGATTGGTTTATCGAACGGATACAAAACGCGCGTGACTTTTGGTTGGTTAAGCGAACGCTCGGGTGAAAAAACTTCATGCCCGTGAACTTTCTAGAAATCAATCGATACTTCGTTTTAACGTCAAACTGCAACACGATTGGCCAATCGAACAATGTCTTCTCCATATTAGAATTTTCTTTGGCGGGAAAACAAAGAGGCCATGTTTTGATCTTTTCATCCATTAGCTCGTTTAAGTTCCTGAAACCTCTACAACGTTCCAGACCGGGAAAAGGTATTTGTGATTATTGTTGGTTAAATCAACTGTTTTACTTTTTCACTTCAGGAAGAGTAAAGGATACATGTATCATCTATTGAGTCCAAGGAGAATCGCGTGTTCGAAAATCTTGCAAACCCTTCTCTGTAGAGCCAGGCACACATTGGAGCATACTGAGGAGTAAATGGTCAGCTTTCAGAGATAATCTTCAAAGGCAAATGGGTTCTGTCTAGCTTTGTAAAAGCACGTTACATTCGAAGCAATAATCATATATTTTTGTTCTTTAGATAAACACTTCACCTTTTCCGGGCATGTTAAAGGGGAGAGGAGCTTTCTTAAGGTATAAACATCCCCATTTTGCACTAGGGCATTAAAAATGCATAAAATAACCGTACGTGGTAGGTTTTGAAATAAAAGGTGACAGACCCGGGGGGGAAGGATACTTCCTTATTAGAGGCTAATGGGGATGTGCCGCTGGATGGGGTCGCATTTTTACGACGGGATTGACTATAATGGGGTCGCATTTTCAACGGAGTTACCAGAATGGGGTCGCACATTTTCGGATTTTTGGGGTAAGACAGTTCTTCATATTTACGGTTAGCAAATGCACCAGAATGTTTTTACTGTAGATGAAAAGTAAAGTGTTCTTTATAAGGTAGATAAATAGACAGTGACTAAGTTGGGATCGCGAAAATTACATATTCGCCCACAAGTGACTAAGACGGGATCTATAATTGGCCACAGAATAGACTATAAAGGGGTAGGGGCTCTGAGAGCCCAGCGGCACATACCCATATACCCAGCAAAAATTAACCCTAGTAACCCCCCGGCCCCGTGGGTGACAGAGAAGAGGACCTCTACTGTTTGTTTCATCTAAAAATTAAAAAAGAGGGCGTTTCACACAGGATTAAGGGGAATCATAAACCCAGAAAAACCTCAAACAAAAGTTACAAATATCAACAAGCCAGTGTTATCTGAAGAAGATATGACACTTACTGTCGTTACGAGGACATACACTCTTAAATCGAATTTTCTGCCTACGAATCACAAATACACAGATAAATGAATAAATTGCAAAGTGGTTAGTCGTCAACCATCCTGGATTGAATGTGAATTGAGAAATGTCGGTTATAAAAGAGATGGGAAAAACTAAGTACTGGTGGAAATACCATTCTGAGCAACGGCAAGAACAAACTCCACCGCACATATGGAATCGCCTGGATAATTCAAAAAAAGGAGGCGTTAAATCCTCTGTGAAAAAAAAAATCTATTCTTGCTACAAAGGCATCATAGAAAAGATTATTATGAACGAAAAGGATCCCACAAATCTACGCCCATACGAAGCATTTTACAAAAGAAAGTACAAACAATCCCTCACACTCCCGTGAATAATGCAGCGAATTTGCGAGCCTTTTGTTTTAGCGTTTTAGTATTTTAAAGACTATGCGTTTCCAGAGACTCTTTGTCCAGAGACACTGGTTCATTAGATCTTCATTTTTTTTTTTTACATTTCTATTCTATACCCATTTTACATACTTTGCCCCATTTTCACCCTTTTAACACAGTTTATCTTAGGCCCCGTCCACACGAAGACGATAGTAAACGCAAACGCTAGTAAACGCAAACTTTTTTATGCGTTTAGGCCTTCCGTCCACACGAAGACGATGAAAACGCTCACTGTAAACGCATAAATTCGAAAACGCTCTCCAAAGTGGATAAATTTGAAAACGCCGTTTATGCGTCTTCGTGTGGACTGCCGTAAACGTATATTTTCGTAAACGCTGTGAAAACGCTGACGTCAGATGTCAGCGCCAGTCTCTTTTATCGAGTCCGTTTCCAAGATGGCGTACACACGAGTGTTGAGCTGTGTCATGCTTGCGCTTATTTCAAGCATAATTGCGAGCATTCAATTGAATCATGCAATAATCGATATACAGGAAAACTACAAAAGAAGAAGACTAAACCTCTCAAGATTGTTATCCACAACTACAAGCACTTTTACTCGAGTAAAACGACTTAGATGCAGACGTGAGAGCAAAGAGAGAAGATTCTGGACCAGACCAGGTCGTACAAGCGCCTGGTGGAACAACTTTGCCGATCAAGTGGTGATACCAGAAGAGTGGAAAGAGAACTTTCGAATGAGCAGAGACTAGCTATATAATCTAGCTGAAGAACTGAGACCATACATTCAGTGTATGACATCGTTTTATGCGTTTACGAGCGTTTTCGTGTGGACGGGTTAAAACGCTACGTAAACGATGATCGTTTTCGGGTGGACGGAGATAAAAATATGCGTTTACTAGCGCTTGCGTTTACAATCGTCTTCGTGTGGACGGGGCCTTACAGTCATTTTGTACATATATAGCTCCAAGCGGAATATTTTCTTATCCCATATGATGCCGTTGATCGGCGAAAGCTTGGATTTTATTGTTATTTTTTAAAAACAGCAGCAGTTAAGGCCTCATTAGAACAATATTTTTATTTTTCTTGGTGGGTGAGGGCGTTAACTGTTTTGTGTTGTATGGTCCTATACATTAGAGAACTTAAGCAACAAGAACGCTGACGTCCCCGGACGTCATGAATAGCAACAGGAAGTTAGATGTCTCGCTTGATGGGACGATTCTGTCTCACACAACGAATCGGAATGCCTTTGTTTTAACACCCGCTTTACTAATTTGTAGAGTCAGAGCACTGAAAGGAAGAAAATACCAACTTCCGGTTGCCATTTTTGACGTCCGGGACCAGTCAACGTTCTCGTTTCAAGAAGGAATTCTGATTCGAATTTAGACACAAACTTAGGTTACTAATCGAAGCATCCATCTGTGGTACCCAGAACAAGACATTAGCTGACACTACGTTCAAATTCCTTTGGGAAAACGGCAGAAAAGCCGAAAATAAGATTTCTCTCATTGAGAATGATTTACTTGAGCCCAAACCAATGGTCGGATTGTACACATTTTAGGTATCAAACGGATGAAAAGTTACTGCATTATATATTTGCAGGAGCGAAAATCATTATTAATCTGTCCCCTGAATATCTTGAAAGGGGCGTTTGAGTTAAAACTAGAACAATTAGGGGGAAACCCACGATCGCATTAGCCATTTTCAGCTTCAGAGTGAGACTGGGTCAACGTTGTATCGAACTGCATTGTGGGACACTTGGGGTAAGTACCACTTCTTTCATTGACGATTACCAAGTTGCGCAGGAAACTGGGGCAGCATAGGTCCCGAAAACAATCCCATGGTGCAATTTGACACAACATCGACCCAGTCCCTAGCGCAATTTCCAATTGGTCAATAAGCCTGGTACAGACTCACCTCCTATTAAATATGGATCTTCTACATAGCGCTGTACAACGTACGCCTCCGGAGGCTCTTTGTCATCCTTCTAAAACCATATCATAAATATGAATTCAAAAGTTCTGCAGTACAGCATGTCAAATGCACAAAGACGTAAAACCCCCGTAACTCGAACTTCCCTTGGTCAAAATTTACCCCGACAACTCAAATTATGGTTCTTGCAACTCGAAGCAGATGCCATGCCATTAGCTATTCTTGACATTTGAAAATGGATGCCATCATAAATGCTTTGAGAATGGACACAAATCATAAAACGAGGAATATCTCCAGAAAGAGATAACTGAAACTTGAAACCAACGTCCACAACAGTGAGGTGCTATATTGTGAGGTTGCCATGGCAACATTCTTGGCCTTAGTCTCTTTTAGCTTTGAACCAAATATTACCATTTGCGTCTCTATAACCAGAGAAAGAACTACCCGTTCCAAAAATGTACAGTGTCCATGTTGCACTTTGTTTACTCATTAACCATTAAGGGTGGCCACAGGTTTGTAAAAAGGGGAGAATGACATTGTCATTCTAGCAAGAACGAGGCCTTGTAATCAGATATAAATCCAAGTTTCAATTATCTTAACGCCCTCTCTGCAGACGTATTGTTCGTTTTATGATTTGTCTCTATTCTTAAAGCGTTCACAAGATTTCAAATAAGTTGAACATCTCTAAAACGGGTGAAGTCAAAAAAATAAAGAAAACAGCATTCTTCTTTATTTTTGTACGAAACTGTAAAAAAATAAATGTAAATATGGCCCACGGATATGTTCCGCTTTTACAGCGTGAGAGTCGAACCAACTTACTCTGTCATCTGACATAGCTGCACGATAAGGGTCCTCCTAAAAAGTTAAACAAGAAAAGAAAGTCAAAGATCGGCAATATTGTTTCCATTTAGCCACTTCATTTAATGATTTTTAACTTAAAAATCAGGATGTTGTCCGAGAGAAGAATGACCACGTGGAAAAAGACCGTTTTTCACCCTCAAGCTGAAAGATAAAGCCACTACAGATCTTTTAAAGCATCACAAAAATGTTTTCGCGCCTTTTACGCGCCATTTTACGTGCCAAGAAAAGGATGACTTGATTAAATTTTCCTCAGAGGAAAACAGGTGATAAAAGATCACACGTACACGTGGTATGGGCACGGTTTAAAGCAGTGACGGATCTAGATACTTCGGGGACGGGTAAGAGCCACCCTCATCCCTTAATTTTAGATGAAACCGAGGCTCAGAAAGTCCCTTCTCCCTGCTTATCTCGAGATTTGGATGTACCATAGTGAAGTGTATCACTTTCTATCTTATTTACTATCTATTTTGTTTAATAGATCTCTTAAGCTTGCAGGTTTTGTTTTCCCAATGAAGGTCTTCAGGGAAATTTGCCCCTTCGTCTTTTCATAAATTATGCGTGAATATGCACGGAAATAAGATGACGTTTCAATGAAACAGTTCCCTAGAGTATTATCACATGACCTACATTGGGAAAACAAAACATACAAGCCTATAATAATTTATAATTGTTGAAATACCTTTCTCCAATCCATAATGTCCTTAAGTTTCCTAAACAGGAAAATCCCCTTTCCTTGAGACTTGCCGACCTAATATATCAGCAAAATCACCAAGGTAAGATTAATAATAGAAAGCACTACATCCGATTACAAGTACAGAATAAGTATGAGTACTTAGAACAATTGTAAGGGAATTTCAAGCAAATTATGGAAATTATGGCCTTCGTCACGCGTTCTTCGGGGAGAATTGCGTCAAGAGCCAAAAGAACGCCTACGTGGTAGGCTACGAGAATTATTGTCTGTTTTTTTGGTTTTCACTTTAAGCTTTCCTCGTCAACAGCTCTAGTTTGAATAGTCAACTTTTCTACGGCATTGCAAATTACAACATGAACATGAAAGTTTTAACAGTCACAAATGTAAAGAATGGATTTGTAAGTAGGTGGAAAAAATGAAGGTACTTATTCACTTAAACTCACGGGCTTCATGATCCACGTTGTGCCCGGGTTCCTTTTGAACTCCTCTACAAATATGTGGTATTCCATCTAAGAGCATAAAATTAAATGTTTCAAGAAAAGCTAATAATACTGTATGTGAGGGAAAAGCAAATGTTCATTTATTCGGTAGTCAGTATCCAGTGATGAAAGCAGTACTATAGAAAAAAAAATTATCTTGTGGTGCACCAGTCTGGAGGGGAGGGAAGGGGAAGAGAGGGAAGGTGAGGGGAGGGAGCTACCACAGATTTACCAGCCAAATGGGTCACTTGACGTCTATTACCACAAGCCAAATGAGTCAATTACCTTCTAAAAAGCCTAGAACTTCACAAACATGCAAACCTCTTCATGAAATCAAAACGTCAAGACTCTTCACCGGCTTGTCTAAGACTGTTAAAATTCGGAGGGCAGGTTCTCCCCTCTTCCCTCTCCCAAAAATGTTGAATCAGCAAGAAATGCATGAAACAGTTTTATGACCAAGAAATAAAATAAGCGATTGAAAAGTGGTTTATGAAGGACTGGTTATCGTCACACCAAGTATTGTGCCTCCACGCTAAACGAGAAAAAGGTGATTAGTGAACATGGCGAAGAGAACGGTTATCAATTAAGAGGGAAGAGTAATTTTGTTTTTGCTTTGGTTTACATTGCTGCGCCATGTGATTGGCTAGGAAGTCTGGCAGCAGTGTCTCAACCAATCCCTAGTATGAACCATAACCAATTGCACCGTGCGCACACACGTCTGTTTTCCCGCGCTTGGAGTCGGGTACAACATACAACATTAACTTCGTAATCTGATTGGTTCATTTGATTGTGCGTGCACATTATGATTGGTTTTCAGGTTTAAAATCTAGTAGATGATTAAATCACTCGACTACAAAAAAAAACTTAGAAACTTACCGGAAGTTCAAATGTAGTCGGAAAAAAGTCGCACCTAGTATAAACAATAGTTAAGGAACGCAAAAAAAAGGAACTAAAAGATCAAAGTAAGACTACGTATTTAATTTCAGGAAGTTATAGCCGACAAGCTGCAAGAACGACAGAATGCAAGATTCTGCAAGAAACTCACTGAATGAATGATTTAAGAAAGCGGCTAAGCACGAAACAAAGTTCTTGACTCAATTCCATATTACTGACTCGATACTGAAACATGGAAAACTCAAAGTGGACGAAAAAAATACATCACTATTGACGTTAAAACACGAAGAAGTTCAAAACAAGAGAGCGATATACGTAAAATTGACGGCCTTAAATAACAATAATAATTTTTTATTTTTGACTAAGGAAATTACCATCAGGATGTATTAATTTGCAATTTTAAGTCTGCCTTCAATTTAAGATGGACTTCAGATACTGAAACATCTTTTACGTTTCCCTTTAAAATATTGTCTTTTGCCTTTGAAGTAAAGTTATGTTATAGTATTGCTGCTTGTATTGGCTTTGGACGCTACTTTCAGTGTACTTTGGCCGTGATTAAATCTATAATAACTTTGCAAATAATCTCTAGGATACGTTTAACGACCGCAAGCTCGTGGAGATAACAAATTCAAAACTATCGCTTTTGACAAGTTCAATGACTCCACGGTGGCATGCCGCCCATCGGCATTCATTCATTTACAAAACACAAATAAAAGGTTTGTAAATTTTCACACTTTTGCAAATTATTTGTATGAAGAGAAATTTTGCTTATTCTAAAGTTCGCGAGACAAAACGAATTATTTAGTTGTTTTCTATTATTAAACTATTTTTGTTTGGACTTCGCGTGACATCAGTAACAGCTATTAAACGTCATCGTCAATAATTAATGCAATCGAAGCCTACGAAAATCACCATAAAATCACTTTACGTATTTTACAAGACCGACAGAGAAGAAAGTTCAGCCTTCCTTCGTTCTATCAAAAATGCGTGAAATCGTTCATCTTCAAGCCGGGCAGTGCGGTAACCAGATCGGCGCTAAGGTATGGTGTACGCCCTAACATTTAGAATATATCCATTTTTTATCTAAAAAGCCTAGAACGCTCACTGTTCTTCATGGCTTTTCAGTTCTGGGAAGTGATTTCTGATGAGCATGGCATCGACCCAACTGGCACATACCACGGAGATTCTGATCTTCAGTTGGAAAGAATCAATGTGTACTACAACGAAGCTACAGGTACTTTAACCGTCAGTCAAATGGTCCCAATGTTTCGTTGCGTGCTAAAACGCCAGGAATTCGGTCGCGCCCGAATTGCTCTTCCCCTTCCCTTTTGATAGCTTGCCACGCAGGCTAAGTCCACGAAAACCAAATTTGCAATCAATATTCTCACTTTTGATCAAAGCATTCAACGGAACGTTATTTTCCGCTTGTAACACCAACGCTTACTGCTTTTACGTTCATTTAACCTTGCCTACGTTGAAGAGTTTAGGGTAGTTTTCTTTCTGTAGTTCTCTATTTCGATTTAAGGACATTCCTCTGAAATGGAACCAGCTGCGTTGAGATTTTTGTCAAACTTCACCGACTGATTGTGTATGTTGTAGAAAGGTAAAGTTTGAAATAAAATGGGGGGAACCCCATACTGGTTTAGGAGCAGGAGCGACTTGTCTGTACCCAATAATTCCTTAAAATACAAATATGATTGATGTATTCACGAGTACATGTTTTGAATAGTTTTCCGACGATTGTTTCTTTTTCTACTCTGGGAATTAGTCTACATTTATTCTAGACAAAGAAAGTTACTGTTGATGTTAAAAAGAAACACGTCACCACCCTGCGGAGCTCCAGCCTCAACGAGAAAACCGCCATGCTTTAATGTGCGTACGCTAATCACGAGTGCAAATTGTGCGCCCTAAGGATGCGCTAAGGAATACTTAGCACTGAATAACCTTAATGTCTCGTAGCCATTCACCGATTGGTGTCCATTGCACATTATTCTAGGCGGAAAATATGTTCCCAGAGCCTGCCTTATCGATCTGGAGCCAGGCACGATGGATTCAGTGCGATCCGGCCCTTTTGGACAGATCTTCCGACCTGACAACTTCGTCTACGGTGAGTGCAAATGAATATTAAAATAATGAGCGACACTCAGATATCTGCATCAGAAATTAACACATGCGATGCCACGTTTCCCTCAGGTCAGAGCGGCGCTGGAAATAACTGGGCAAAAGGACATTATACTGAAGGCGCCGAGTTGGTAGATTCCGTACTCGATGTCGTCCGCAAAGAAACAGAGTGCTGCGATTGCCTTCAAGGCTTTCAGCTCACGCACTCTCTGGGCGGTGGAACCGGCTCTGGAATGGGAACTCTGCTCATTTCGAAGATCAGGGAAGAATATCCCGACAGAATCATGAACACATTCAGCGTTGTACCATCACCCAAAGTATCGGATACCGTTGTTGAACCTTACAACGCCACACTGTCGGTCCATCAGTTGGTCGAAAACACTGATGAAACATACTGCATCGACAATGAAGCTCTGTACGATATCTGTTTCCGAACTCTGAAGCTCTCCACACCAACTTATGGCGACTTGAACCATCTTGTCTCAGCCACAATGAGCGGTGTTACGACTTGTCTTCGCTTCCCCGGACAGGTATTGTTGGATTTTTTTGAATGACTAAAAAGAACGAAATTTTGCGATAGAAAAAGATCTCGCCCAGAATACGGACGTGCGCATATAAAGAGCGAAAGAAACGACCGTGAAATAAACAAAAATCTTAAGATCGTGGGTTTTGTAGCAAGAAATATCACAAAGTGAATGTGGTACGAAAAAGGTTTCTTTTCTTTCGGGAGGTGGGGGGAGGGGAACCCTGTTAGTGTGAGAAAGAAAACTTACACGGAAAAAGTGATGATAATTAAATCTCCAAAATACTCGAGTAATGGATCGATCGCTGATTAAAACAATCTTTACAGAAAAAATAGAAGATAAAGAAAGCGAGAATTTAATTTCATCTGCGTTGATTTGAACTTACACTCAAACAAAATCGTTTTCAGAACTGTCCATCTGATATCCATTTTTAGAGGGGCAGCTGTATAAAATGCGATAATCGCCTTCCCGTCTTTAGATATTGGACTGATACTGAATATAAAAGTAACGTGTCAAAATGTTTTGACATTTCGCCCGTGTTTTTCTTTTTTACTTATCTTCGGCCTATTCACTTATTTACATTCATTTTCACGTTTGCAAGCGTATTGCGCATGTGCAGCAGGATTAAGACGCCAAACGACAAGAGAGGATTGCTTTTTTAGTTTCAGAGTCGCAATATCGAAATCCAAGAAAAAAACTGTCAATTGAAAACAAAAGATAAGGAGAAAAAAAGGAACAAAAGTGCAATACCGACAACCGTATATAAATAACTTATTGACGATCGAAAGTTTTTCCTCATAACGAATGCTCTACATGGTAACGGAAAGGCTGACCTCCTAAGTGTGGCAACTCTGTCTCATTGCCTCTATTGTTGGTTTGCACGTGACGTCACGGCGGCCATGTTGGTGGTCAAGAACAAAATCATTTCTCTCCTCTGGGAACTAAACTTTGTTTTCATGTAAATTCTTCCAGAAAAAATCCTATTGTATTGACCCCCAAAATGGCCGTCCTGTCACGTGGTTGCAAACAAACAGTATTCAAACACTGAAACCATCACACATAATGTGAATCCTCGATATAATGAACCCCTATCTAAAAGGACACCGAAATAACCATTGATTTTCTTCGACACCAATTATGTTATGGTAAAATGTATGGCACAGGACCCTAATAGTAAACTGTATGACACAGGCCCCTTACTTAGCGTACAGGTGAGCGCTTGGTATATCGTTTTCTCGAGTATAAGATCTTGACAATAAGCGCACCCATTGACGTTCGTGCAGGTTTCAGTTCACGTTCTCCTTGAGCAGACAGCCGAGCGTAACTTTCCGAACCACTTTACTGACCTGGCCTACTGGGAGTCATTGATTTTGTTGAACCATACATTTTTTTTCCCTACATTTTTAGCCTTTTTCAGACGTTCAAACTGTAGGAAAGGCGCAAAAAGATTTAACGAGGAAAAAAAGCGAGCGGGTGAACGCCTGGAATAGGCTATGAAATTTTTGAAGAAATACAAAGTATAACATTGTGGTCGTCATGGGTGTTAGTCGCTGGTTTCTATTAAGACACGCCGTTTTCCCATCCTTTTTATAGCTGAATGCGGATCTCAGGAAACTAGCAGTGAACATGGTTCCTTTCCCTCGTCTTCACTTCTTCATGCCTGGATTTGCCCCCCTCACCAGCAGAGGATCGCAGCAATACCAATCACTATCAGTACCTGAACTAACCCAGCAGATGTTTGATGTCAAGAACATGATGGCTGCATGTGATCCAAGGCACGGTCGTTATCTGACGGTGGCCGCCATGTTTCGTGGCCGTATGTCCATGAAGGAAGTGGATGAACAGATGCTGAATGTTCAAAACAAGAACAGTTCATACTTCGTGGAATGGATCCCCAACAACGTCAAGACCGCGGTCTGTGACATCCCTCCTCGTGGACTGAAGATGTCTGGTACTTTCGTTGGTAATAGCACCGCTATACAGGAACTGTTCAAAAGAATCGGAGAGCAGTTTACTGCTATGTTTAGGCGCAAAGCGTTCCTGCATTGGTACACTGGCGAAGGCATGGATGAAATGGAATTCACTGAGGTAAAAAAAGGTTAAACTGCATGGACAAGAAACGAATATCTTTATATAGTATAGTACTCTTCACGGCAGTGCAAACGTCTCACTTTCCGTTTTCAGGGTCTCTCTATGATCGTTTCGGCTCACGATAACTTAAGCCTGGCTCTCAATAAATAATGCCCCTGAAGTACCTGCGACATAGCAACCGGTACTGCACGCTTGCGGTACCACTCTGACATATGAAGACATAAAGGCCACCGGCAACAAGAAACATCGCAGGTCTTTACCGCCGGCATGCCTGCGAAGTTGACTCGAAGTTTGGAAGGCCTACTTTGTAGGTCTTAAAGTAAAATAGCTTCAAAGAAGACATTTCTTTTTATAAAAATGATTAGTTTCACTGATTTTTTTTTTCACAGGCTGAATCCAACATGAACGATCTTGTGTCAGAGTACCAGCAATACCAAGACGCTACAGCTGAATTTGATGGCGACTTTGACGAGGAAGAAGAAGAAGAGGGTGAAGCGGCATAAAACTCACCAAAATAAAACAGACAGTAGCTGCTAGCAGGAATAACCTATAACGCCGTTTTATAGTTCATAAATGGGCTAACAAATTAGAAACAAGGGAAAGACAAAAAGCTAACACAGCTGGACAGCACAGAACTGTTAAAGAAGCGTATCACACAAATCATGGCTTAGTGTTTTCATGCAAACTATAGGGTAGAGTGTCGTTAATGCACAAAACGACCCCTGACAAACAGGAGAAGGACATAAATTCATTTACCAACGTGCAAGCCAACCATTAACAATACTTTTGGAGTGTAACGCCAGCCATGACTTGCCTAAGCTTCAGTCGACTTTCTCCCCAATACAAGTCAAAGACAATAAATATTAAAACCTGCTTTTAAGTACTAGAAGTGTAGTAAAGTCTAACAAAACCGGGCCGACAGCTCCGCTGCATTCTTAAGCACAGCCGAGGAGGGGTGTTTTTGCACATTAAACTACTAAATACTAGAGACACGTCAACAAAACTCAAGCCGCCAAGTCATGGCATCTGAGACGTAAGCCTGCAATGCCAACAGCAGTATAGTTTTCAAAGTAATCTATTTCGTAGTGAGCTTCACTGTAATGAAGGAAAAAAAAAACGAGTAAAAACAAATTCTGCTTACTTTTTTTGTGATATTAAACAAGCTTGATGTTCTGGGCCATTAAAATCAACACTTACAAACGGGTTTGTCAAACTTTGTCTCTTTGTCCTTGGTAACCTGAGTTGTTTTATTGCTGAAAATTTCCTCCATATCGCTTAGCTCACTACTTTACCCTCAAACATCTATCGCAAACTTGAGTACACATGGTTAGTCTACTCCACGGCTGTGCTCTAGCAGAGCCCGGTGGCCCCTGGCGCCTAACTTTTGCCCTCGGGCGACTTGAAAATCTCAGATTTTTCATACAAATCATATGCTGGGCACCCTAGATTTAACAGTTTCGGAGCACTGGGCTTCCTTCAATTTTCCTTAGAGCACAGCCTTGTACTCTGTCAAAACTCCTGTTCTAGAATACGTACTCAATACCTCTAGGTGACCGCAACTTGGCTTCAAAATACTACAGAGAAGCAGATACTGTATTTATTCGATTAAACGTCGCTGCGTTTATTTAAGTGAAGGGCGGTTTTGTTTTACATGAAAGAGTCTGTTATTCCACAGTTATTCAGCTGTAGATTTACAGCACAAAGCGGGCATGTTTCCCTGTAGGCAACCCACCTGCCATACCTAACAATTCCTTATTCTGACATTAATCATTCAACCTCCATTCCTACACCAGGGGGTCACTTAATTATTAAGAGTGCATGCTGAGACAGGCGTGTAGGGAATGTTACCCTGTTCACATACCACACATACCCTCTATTTTCTCTTCAGAGATCGTCAAGTGCACATATCAAAACAAAATCGTGGGGGGTAAGAAATTGACCGCTAAAGCAAGGGGATTCTTAGTTTCATGATATTTCTTTACCACTTAGATTTTTGACTCTTCTAAACGACTCCTAGATTAAACTATGGTTTGCAGGACTTATATTCAAGGTGCAATTTCCTGAAAAAGGCTTGATATATAGGTGAAGGATACTACTACTACTACTACTACTACTACTACTACTACTACTAATAATAATAATAATAATAATAATGGTTTAATGTTGACCAGCATATCCATAAACCCTATGGATGGATATGCATATCCAGCATATCCATCCATAGCATATTCATGTCTCTTCATCTGACAAAGCCACTAGCTATGGTTATAAATTAAAGTATTTATTTAAGCAAGGATACTTTGCAGCTTCAAGTTTCCCAAATTCTCTCTCCAGTTGTTTCTTGAGCCTCTTTAAATTTTTGGCCATGAGATTCTTTCGTGTCAACTAAAAAATATCAAAGAGAAAGCAATGGATCAAAAATAAAGCCAACGTACCGTAAAATTCCAAAAATAAGCCCCTCCATGTATAAGCCCCCTAAACCATTAATGCTAAAAACCCTCCGTTAAATCGCCCCTTCAAATATAAGCCCCCTGGGGGCTTGTACTTGGAAAATTGCCCTCAAGTAGAAAGTAAAACAAAGCAAAAACGGTAAATTTACTTCCAACTATAAGGCTAGCCTAATCGATTTATAAACGCAAATTTCCCTCCGTAGATAAGCCCCTCCGAATATAAGCCCCTCCAAAAATAAGCCCCTCAAAAAGGGCCTTTGAAAAATATATGCCCCGGGGCTTATTTTCGGAATTTTATGGTATGTCCACTAGCAACCTTGCCTAAGCAAACTTGGCCAATAAAGCAAAAACAATGAGGCCCAATAAATACACAAAACTTGTCTTTGTTTATTTTGTTCTTGGTGATTTTATGGTACCTAAAACATTTGCTGGAAAACCTTCTGCCTCTAAAAAACACGTTACAAGCTATATAGGTGGTTTTAAAGAAAATGTTTCCAAATAGAAAAAAAAATTGGAAAATTATGTTCATTTTTAACACAGTAATTTACACTCCAAGATTTGCCTTGAAATTTATTATACATCTCTCCAGTATGTACAGCTATTCAGTATATAATTACCAATAATATTAGTAAATAAGGTTGGGTATGATGATAAAGAATTATGCAGACTAAGGAGGGTGGTATCAGATGGGGTGGATAACAGTTCCCAAGACAGTATGAAATACAAATAATGGATGGGTAGTTGAGGCAAGAATGAGTTGATAGAGGTTTTGCCATCGCTCAGTGATTTTTTATTGACAACTACTTTTTGTCTACCAGGACTCCCATAACTGGCCAGTAAATAGAGGGTGGACTGGCGCAATACCTAGAGGATGTCCTGTATTATTGGTGTGCAATAAATGAGTTTAAGAACCTCTATTAAAAAGAAAAAGAGAAAAAAAATTACACAATTGAAAATAATAAAAAAAACTGGACGGTAGTAATATTGTCTCTAAATATTGAAAAATACTGCTCAGTGTCCATTATAATCAAGTTAGAACAATAATTTGGGACCAAGTCTGTAAGCCAATACTTGAAGGGATTCAATCATTGTCCACATCAATGAAGTACTACAAGTTAAGAGTTGCCTGTACTAGTTGCTTCTTGTCAGTATAACCATGGATGCCAGGTGGCAAAGATGCAATGTTAGAGAGAATGTAGAGCTAAGTTTTTTTTTATATAATGTAACAGGGAAGCAGTGTATTATCTTTAATACCTCATAATGATTCCTAAAATGACAGATCTTGACATGTTCTTCCATATATGTGTGGTCAAAATTCTCTCTCATCCATCCCACATCACACCAGTAAAAATCCCACTCTCCTTGGTAGGGAAAATTAAATCTCTCATCCATCAAAACCTCTATATAACACCAGTAAAAAATGATTTTCTTTCCTTCCCTGTTATGGAAAAGAAGATTTAAAAACCTCATTAAATAAACAGCTGTTCCTTGGCCCCTCGTTATATCAAGTTCCACTGTACTAAATCAGGAGCCCACCATTAAATTGTTTTTCAAAAAAAGGACAAGGAGAAGGCGAGCTAGCTCAGCTGTTTTGGCTAGCCTGCAAAAACAGCTGTGTCTCCTTGCTCTTCGCCGCTGGGGATGTTTCGAGAGGAGGAATGTCTGCGACTTAGCGACAGAAATTCCATACTGATGACATAAATCAATGTTTACATAATAAATCTGGTAGTCAATTTTGTGTTTCTCCTGGTCGATTTTGGTAAAGTGTTGTGTTCATCTGCGAACAAGCTCCAGCAAAACTCAAATGCTTCTTCCAGGAAAGAACATATTCCACAAATATTGACTGTTTTGTTATACATTCATCCCGTTTACTTTTGACCTTTGTGGCCTTTTGTCTGCCTTTCATAAACAATAGCTGAAACAATGTAACTACTCCATCGTCCAATCAGTGCTTCTGAACTGATTCCGGACAGATTTTGCGTCACCAGTATGAAATTTCTGTCGCTGAGTCGCAGACGTTCCTCCTAGCGAAATGTCCCCCAGCAGAGATGAGCGAGGAGAAAGATCTGTTTTCAGGGGCTACTGTTTTGGCATGACTGGAGAAAATAATATTGTGGATAGCAAGGGAAATGAGTCACATGTTGGACCAAATGGTTGACTTCTTTGGCTCATTTCTACAAATGTCAATCAAAATTACTGAGTTCGTCATATACAATGTATGTTACCCTAAAAGCTACCAATACCCTGCACCGTTGCTATGGTAACAAATGTCTAATAACAAAACCTATAAACTAACCTTTCTAAACAAAGCCGTTTTAAGTACTAAGAACCTTCAGTTTTAAAAGTAATGAAATATTAATACAATACTGTAGCGAAAAAATTTAAGCTTACTATATCTTCTGTGACAAACTGAAAAGTGCTAAACTTACTCTCTGATTTCCGTCCACCCCTTGGAACGAAGGACGTCTATAATAGTATTCTGAAGTGAACATTTGAATCTGATAACCCGGCTGTTGTCACTTGAAATACAAAAAGCATGTAAATAAAGTTAATCATTTGCAAAAGGCTGATGTCAGGAAAACGATTTTCCTATTCTTGTTAAGCTCGAGCTTTGCCTCCAGAGGATGAAAATATATGCCAGTCTTGAAAATATTTATATTCCTTGATTTTAATAATACTTACAAGGGTTTTCTCTGAATCGGTTTCCAATTAAAAGGTGTTTGCTGAAATAGAGTATTAAAAAGCAAATTTAACAAAATTAAACGAGGAAAATTAATGTTTAAAAAAATTTTTTCTCGTGTTTCTACCTTATCTCGTTTTGCCGCCATGTTGAGCCCAAATAAATCCCACGATGCATCAGTCTTCCTCAGTTGTTCCCAGGCTCTGTTCAGCTAAACCTCGTCAGCCATGTATGCTTAAATTTGGACTTTCTCGAAATGATAACTTTAAAACCTTTATAATCGTGTAAATATCAAAATGTATCGTTGTTGACAAAAAGGAATAAGTTATAGTCATTAGGAGGGAAAATGCATCGAGCGTACCACACTCCTGGAGGCGGCATAAGGGAAATTAAACTCTGTCTACTCGGGGTAAGATGCGATCCACAATTAAAAATTATCGACCAGTGATAGTTGATGTGATCAGAGATTCGCTTCCTTGTTCCAAGTATTGACAGAGGTCGTTTTGAAGTAATTATTTATTTTCACCACTTTTTCAAGGATGCTGGTGTGGGCAAGTCTTGTTTGGTCCATCGGTTTGTCTCCGATTCATTTAATGCCTCATCTCCGCCCACTATCGGGTCAGTAAGATTTGATTCTATGAAATATTTAAGCTTTAATATTAGGTCCTAAAGATTTGATCACTATTTTTATAAAATCTATAAAATTACTTTATTCCGTTTCGTGGCTTATTAGTTTAGCTTTTTAAAAATAATTTGGTTAGATACAGTCGTGGTTGAATTTAAAGATCTCAGTATATTTAGTAACCTGGTGTCTTAAAATTAATGTAATGAGTTCATTTTGAGGTACAGTAAATTTTACTTCCTTTATTAATATGGACATCGAAGGAACAGAGTCAGGTCTCTGCAGTACAGAGGTGTCCGTAAACTAGAGAAATGAACTACATACCATGTATAATTTGTGTCTTTACAGTCACGCCAGGTCAAGCATACCCCAGTAGATACCATTAATGAATCAATTATTTTAAAAAGGAATCCATCAGTCATTGTTGCAACCAGTTACAACGTCAAATTTGCATTCCTGCGTGCATTATAAGCAGTGAACTTTTTACAATAACCTCTCTGTATTTGGTCAGATTGAACATCTTTGAATGGATAAAATTGCTTTGAAGACATAAAAATCAAATTCAAGGAAACTGAGCTGGTAGAAAGTTTAATAACTACCTGGTGTATGAATTCACCACTCATTATGCATGCAGGAATGCAGAGATGAATCTGAAATCCACAACTCTTGTCTAAATACCCATCTAAACTCCCCTACAAAAGGGAAAACCACAAACACATGTTGCCATCACGTGCTCACAAGTGGCCGCATTGCCCCAAAGGAAAGGAGCCTCGTTATCAACCAAATTGTCACCCAGGTACTCTTCAGCACTGTTGCCCAATCGAATTCCGACTGATCTTCTGGTTAATGATCTTTTGCCTTAAATACCTAGCGCCACTCTTTAAATACTCTACCAAGTCCCTTGATACTAAATACCAACAAGAGAATATTTTCTCACTAATTTATTCAAAAATGTGGAAAAATGGAACTACCAACAGATTCAACTTTCTAATAATAAATTCATTAATGTAATCTTGCGGTTTCGCTTGACCTGGCTTGACTGTAGCACTATGTGGCTGTGTACATAAGCATAAATCTCGCATAACATTGAAGTTTGGGTGACATAACTGCAGGTGAGATAACTTTCAGGCAAGTTGACCAGAACTGTTTGTGAAAGAGAGTTATCCTGATACATGTCTTACTGCACACAGCACACAATAATAGCGCTCAAAGCTCAACAATTTTCAAAGCCACCATTTGGCGACCTGAAATTATAGAATAGTCACTAGCAGGGTGCAAAGAAAGTCAGTTTTACAGCCTGCCATTCGGGCAAGCTGTAGTTAGCATGTACTAGCCCACAAGTCATTTCAACTAACCCCAAAACCCTTTTTGATTAGCAGGATTGATTACCATCCTTCTGTAATTTGAATTTGCCCAAAAAATTCACTTGCCTGTCGGTCAAGTTAAGAACAGAATTCACAAGCCCGAAAGCAAAATCCACTAGCCCAGGGCTGTCGGACACGACTTTCTTTGCATGCTGCACTAGGCATAGAATAATTATTGGAGGCCTAAAAAAAAGAAAAACAACACTTTGTGCAACACTATAAGAATGGTTTCGAACCTTGAATTTGTTAAGTCAACTCCTTCTAAGATGGACACCTTTGGGAACATTACTATGTGTCCATCTTTTAGAGGAATGTCCATCTTTTGAGTCAACTTAAAGGAATATAGAAAGCTTGGGACAAACTCTGGGTGTTCAGATCTTACAGAGGTGTCTGTTAAATGAGAGTTTACTGTATTCACAGGGTTGTCAATAAGAGCCGGCGGCCAGCAAAATTCACCAGCTATTTCACATGAACTTGTCGTCTACTTTTCTTTGGAATAACCAGTTTTAACAAATGACATGATTTAAAACAGATACTGAAACAAGCAATGGTTCATAGCTATTGGCAAGAAGAAATAAATGAATAAAGAAAATTATTCATGTGCTGTTGCTGAATAAAAAAGCCAAAATTTAGTAATGATGTCTGTGTTCTGTTCAAAAACTCTAATTTTTGCTCCAGAAGGCTGGAAATGCATTCTAAGAGGCCCAGATTTCAAAATTTTCCAGGGGGCATGCCTCTGAATTCCCCTGGAGGCTTGAGCCTTCTGCTCTTGCAAGTTGCACCTTTGGCGCGAGTTTTTTCCATCTGAATGATCTCTGCCTACTCCTAAGCTTTTGCCACCTACTTAATTTTTTCAACGTGTTGAGAACCCTGATTCACATTATAGTTTATTGTGAATTTCTGTAACTTCTGAGATGATTCATTTGATTGGCTAAGGTTCTGCTCAATCATGTAGGAGACTCAAAAAATGTTTCTGAACTGTAATGATTTCTATCAATACCAGTATACAATCCTTCCAACCACCTTGGTAAACCGGAAAATCTCCCTGGAGACTCCCATATAAAAAATGAGAAGTGTTCTTGTTTGCCCAGCCCTGTCAAATTATTACTTTTCTCAGATTTTCATTTGATTTTTTTTGTAGAGCTGCCTTTATGACAAAAATGATGATTGTTGGTGACCAGGCTTTTAAGTTCAATATATGGGATACAGCAGGGCAAGAAAGGGTAAGCTCATTCAAATTAGAGTCTGCGGAATATTTGCTTTTTTCACAAGAATTTATTTTAGAAATTAGATTGCAATACAACTGTATACTTTTCATTCATTTGATGCAGTTTAAGAGTCTAGCCCCACTCTACTATCGAGATGCTGCAGCAGCCATTTTAGTCTACGATATAACAAGTGATGTAAGTTTTACTGGATTTATAATAAAAACCTTGAAAAATGTTAGGCTCTCCTTTATGCACATGAAGGTAGCAGTAATGCTTGTACTTCTGAGACATGTAGAAGTATGATAGAAGGTGTGATCATGTTTTGTCAAATCAATAATTTATTCAGCCTGTCACAAAGTAGCCTGCGATCATGCCCTCCCTACATTTGTACTGTATCTTTCGTGTGGATCCTTTATAATGATACATTCATGTACATGTTGTGGTTCAATTTTATCCTTGGTTTAAATTTTATTTCCTTAGTTTTGGGGTATTGTAATGTTACTGAGTTTGAAACAAAGAAAAATAAAATTTAAACCAAGGATAAAATTGAACCGCAACATACACACTATCAATTTCTAGATTACATTTGTCTTATATTCTTTCTCGTTTTAGAGTTCATTCCATGCTTTAAAAAACTGGATAAGGGAATTACAAAGATATGTTCCATCTGATATTCTTATCGCTATTGCTGGAAACAAGTGTGATAAAACTGACCAAAGGGAGGTAAGCTGCAGGTGCTTTGCCTTGCTGCCCAGGGTTGTCACTAACCCAGGGGGGTACTCAAGATTTCAAGTAATAGGGATGATCAAAGGGTTTTTTTGGGTTTGAAATTTTCGATTTCGGGATTTTTTGGGGTTGGAAGATTTTGGCAAGTATTTTTTGGGTAGCTTGATTTAAGAGGGCATTTTTGGGGGTATTCAAAAGAATCTGAAGATGCATGATAGTTCCCACGTATCCCAGCCATCTAGTTCAGTGAATAAATTTGATATGGCTCAGAAATTCAGCATGGGATCTTTTTGGGGTTAAAATTTGGTCCAGGGAATTTTTGGGGTTTTGTTGGAAGCCCTAGGGATTTTTTGGGGTTTTGATTTTTGTCCCCATTCGATCATCCCTGTCACTTGAAGCCTAAACAACTTCCTAGTTTTGCAATAAGGCATTTCTGAATTGGGTAAGTCTGAATCCATTGATATGAAAATGTTTTTTTTCTCTCATACAAAAAAACTCATTTTCACAGTAAAGGTTTTCTACTTAGCCTTGTTTTAAGAGTGAGAGTTTTTGAACTCAGAAATGGCCTTTTTTTTTTGGGGGGGTACTTGGGTTAATTTTTGCTGGGTATGTGCCACTGGCCTCTCAGAGCCCCTTCCCCATTATAGTCTATTCTGTGGCCAATATTAGATCCCATCTTAGTCACTTTTGGGCAAATATGTAATTTTTGTGATCCCAACTTATTCACTTTCTATTTTTATGAATTGACCCATTAATTTTTTTAGATTGAAAGAAGAACACTTTACTTTTCGTCTGTAGTACAAACATTCTGTTGCGTTTGCTAACTGTAAATATGAAGAACTGTCTTACCCCAAAAAATTCGAAAATGTGCGACCCCATTTTAGTAACTCTATTGAAAATGTGACCACCTCCCCCCCCGGGCTTTTTGCCTGTCTACCTATTACACATACCCAGCAATTTATTTAATCAGAGGCATGTTCTGCAGAGAGGACTGCAGGAAAAATTGGGAAGGGCAGGAATTGTTATCTAGGGAAAATGAGACAAGCTTAGACTTAGGCCCTTATAAAAAATACCTGGATGCACCTCTGATACACATGCCTAGATTCAGTTCTCTGCAGTGGGTGGAGCACTAAGGAAAACCCTGCTTGAAACATCACCCAGTTGGTGATATCAACCAGTGCATCTTCTTGGTCTGTATGGGTGGTCCATGGACCATTTTGTTAGGTGGTTCACAGGTCTACTGGGTCCATTGGAATTAAAAAAGAAAATCACCTTGTGGTTTCTGAGATGGACAGAACCTTCAGTTGTTTTATAATTCTTTCCCCAAGGTTTTAGTACAGAAGTTGAGTAAACAGTAAGTGAAAACTCTGTTCTTGTTTCTCAGGTTTTAGAAGAAGTAGCTGAGGAGTTTGCAAGTAGCGTAGAGGCAATATTTGTTGAGACAAGTGCTAGAACAAACAAAAATGTTCATTGGCTATTTGAAGAGTTGTGTAAGTACTCACTGTAAATAACTTGAAATTCATTCTAGTTTATGTTCTCAGAGGTTTTATTTTGCATTTTAATAATTTTCGTGCATTTTTGTTAGAAAACTCTTCTGCCAAAGTAATATGTATCTATAGGTAATAGCATGATTTGTAGTGATTATTGGCATAAATACCATGAGTGATATTTCGAAATTGGTGTAGGTAATAGCATGATTTGTAGTGATATTTGGCATAAATATCACGAGTGATATTTCAAAATTGTTATACGAAATTTCATGAGCCGTTAGGCGAGTGAAATTTGAGACAATTTTGAAATATCACAAGTGGTATTTATGCCAAATATCACGTACAAATCATGCTATTATTTGTTTATACTACTACCCACAAAAGGTTTGTAATGTTCACATGTTTATTTCAAATTAAGCTGAAAAACCACTGCTCTAAGCCAATCAAATTGCAGTAATTTCTCATGTGGTAGTATAATTATACGTAATTTCACGAGCCGTTAGACGAGTGAAATTTGAGACAATTTTGAAATATCACGAGTGGCATTTATGCCAAATATCACGTACAAATCATGCCATTATTTGTTTTTACTACTATCCGCAAAGGTTTTGTAATTTTCACACGTAGGTATTTCAAATTAATCTGAAATACCACTGTTCTAAGCTAATCAAATTGCAAAAATTTCTCATGTAGTAGTATAAAGAAGTTAATCATACTCATCAGCTGAAGCTACTTAATTTTTGTAATAAATCATTTTGTCAGTCTTGGTGAAAGGAAACTCAAAGAGAGGGGAACATTTAAGTGGAACCATTTTTCCCTCCAAGAATCTGTCACTGGTACAAATACAGCGTACACTTTTGGAAATGACTTTCTTGTCACAAATAACAGGGTTGCAAATAATATCAAATTATCAAAACAGTTGGTGTAATTTACAGTTACTAATTTAAATAAACTTCAATCCAATAACGATCAGAATTTTTGTAAGATGACGATGTATAAATAAAGCTTTAAAATTATCTTTAACATCTAGCTCGTCGACTTCCTCAAGAAAATGCAGATTCTCCAACAGGGAGGCAAACTCTTGTACGACCCAAACCAGCAGAGGAACATCCAAAAAGATCTTGTTGTTCAGAAAAGCAGCCAACTACAAATTACTGAACATGATGGGAAGATTCAGCTTCATACTGCGATCTGTCCATGGACTGTTTCAGAATGTGTTTTGTACAAGAAATTGGTCCTTTTTTTCTGAGCAATAATATGGATTAGCATCGTTGAACATGTAGCTTCTGATTTTGAAAAGACCGATCCTTAGGCGTGGTTTCACTTGGTCTGTAATCATTGGCTACGGTTCCTCGAAAGATGGTTTAGTCTAACCTAGGATAAAGTGAAATTTTAGTAATTTTTTTTATCGAGTGATAAGTGAATTGAGCTGAATTGCTGAGTCTTTTCCCAGAGACCCAACTGTGTTCACCAAAAATTACAGCCCTAAACAGTCCGTGAGAAAGTAAATCCAACTGGGGGCCAACATTTTAAGACAGAATCCACCAGGACATTGAGTAATTTTGATTTTCAGTGGACAAAACTCTTGTACCAGAATAGTAATATTTAAAGCATATTGAATTCTTTATTACATTTTTCAAGGGCTTAAGATGTAATAAATCATTTCTAGTAACACCAAAAAAAATTTCGTTTGGGAACCCGAGAAAATGAATGTCAGATTTCACAAAATTACATCTTACACATGAAATTTTCAGAATTTTACCTGTAAAATCTCAGTTCTTGTCAAATTTGGGGTTACTACAGATGATTTATTACATCTTTAGCCCTTCAAAAATGTAAAAAAAAGAATGCAATATTATTTAAATTATTCTGGTACAAGATTTTTGTCCATTGAAAATTAAAATCACTCGATTTCCTGATGGATTCCGTCTTAACACTAGGCAAAGCTAACAAGGCTTCGAGGGCCGTGATTTGGGGTGGCTGTTTGTTTTAAAAGTCAGTTTTAAGATGATGCATTAGGTGAATGTTGGTCAGTTATATTACTGATTTGCTGGTAGACCAGCTGACAAAACGTCTTGCAAAGGTAACTGGTTTGTTTGAAAATGAAGATAACCGGAGACATTAAAAGTTAGGATGTAGAGAGGAGGTAGATTATTTGAGAGCACTACCAGTAAGCACAACAGTTGTCTCACTGAGATAAACATTATATTTTTTCCATTAAAAAAATAAATTAGTCTTCATTCATTGTAATTGTCAGGAAAATCCTTATCTCAAGAAGGCGCAAAAACTTTGCTTCAAGTAATCAGTTCTAAAGTGTCCATCTGTTTGTTATAGTGCTATTTTGCTGTAAGCAGATGTGAATTGTTTAGAAATGACTTGATTTATAGGAGAGCTATTTAATGTACCGTGAAGCATTCGACGGGCAAGTACTTTTAAGAAAATATTGATGTATTATAACTATTTTTCTAGTTCAATCAGGATGTTACATTGGACAACAGTATAAAAAATTAGTATTAAATTATTACTTTTACCTTACATCAGGGATCAAGGGGGAGAACAAAGCTAAAAATACAAAGAAAATTCCAAATTTCATTTTTAAGAAACCTCAACGCTGTCTAAGACGGGCAGAACGCATTAGGACCTGCACTAAAAAGTCCGTCTTAGAGAGGTGCCTTGTCTTGTCCCTTCGGGTCACGTGGTCCAAGCGAGTTCCCGACCGTTCGTCTCCGATAGGTCAAAAAACGTCACCGAAATGCATTCACCGAGAAGGCCTGGGAAGACTGTACGTCTAGGGCTGCCGCTGTACCTCTAGGGCTACGCAAGAGAGGTGCCCATTTATTAAATACTTAAGAACGTAAGGAAGCAACGGCAACAGTTCACTGTAAATCCAAAAGAATGGTGAAAGAAACATTTAAATGACCAAGCTCTAGCATCGCATGAAAGTACGATTGAAGAGGTCTTATTTGAATAGTCACATCACAGGATCTCATCTTCAGATTCAACTACTTTTTACAGCCTGATAAATAATTGACGACGCTTCATTTGAATGGTTACCCTATAGTGTTTTATGACCAGACTCAAAAATTCAGAACTTCGTTGCATTTTTTAAATAATTGACTCTAGAAAAGTGGAGACTTTAACAAAAGAACGGCTATCGTCATAATTTTGTTTACTCAGGTACATGAATTTTCTTTCTTTTTTTCAGTACCCCGTTGACCACTAAATCACCAAAAAAGCTTCAGTAAACATAGAACTCTGAAAATTTCACTGTGCTGTCATGCGTTCCTCTCACGCGAGGAGGACACGCGTGACGAAGCCCCAGGAGCGTCTCTGCCTGGGAGGTTAGCCAATTTGCCATTTTCGAGTTCCAAAAACTCTCACTTTCAAAACGAGACTAAGTGCAAAAGCTTTCTTGTGAAAATGTTTTTTGTATGAAAGTCATTTTCGCATCAATGGCTTCGCAATTACCCTCGCTTTGAAACAGAGGCTTGGGGCACTTAGTGAATAGCCTATTTGTTGTTAAAATCGAGTTCTTTTGTTTAGCGTATTTGAAAAAAAGATGATACTTTGTAAACATTCAAATACCTTCCCTCTTTTAACAGTGATATTTAACAATTTCCACGCATCATTGTAAGGTTTATTTTATCACAAGGCAAATAGAAAACTTTTAAAACATGTTAAGTTTACTTTAAATGAGACGATAAATTAGTTTTATATTTTTTCATATCATAATAAAGATACAATAGACTGCCCTGCTCGTCTGTCCAATATGTTATGTACTAGAATGCAAACGTTCTTATTCACACAGAGATTATCCAGAGGATTTCCAACCTACATTACTCTTATCTCTTTCTCCTATGTGTTCGTTTCTAGACCGCCCGCGGTCGTCCTTCCTTCGTCAGAGCCATGCGCAGCGAGCGAAAAAGTAAAATTATGGAAATTAATGGTAAAAAGGAGGAGAGATTTGAGCTTCGCAATTTGCCCCTTGCACGCGTTTGATCTACGTACTGTAACTCAAAAGAGAAATAAGAGACAGCTCGCAGTCTAATAGGCCTTTTCAGATTTCAAACCCCCTCGCTTTTAAAACGAGGCTAAGTGCTAAACCCTTCTTGTAATAATGAACTTCATCTGAGAATAAACAATTCTTTTCATATCAATGGCTTCGCATTTAGCCTCGCTTTGAAACAGAGGCTTGAGGTAACTCGGAAATGGCCTGTTTGGTTGAGGAGAACTTCACCTTGTGAGCCTGAACTCACTTAGCGCAGCGGTAATTCAACCTCTGCTCCAGGACTGCCTCCCTGTTACCCAAAATGCTTTGCAGGTGACATGAGAAGTATGCCCCTATCTATTGGGACGCACCGGCACTGATTTTACATGTCTCTCCCATTTCCGTCTGTTGGCCATGACATGCAAAATCCTGCCTCGAAAGACCGGTATCACCCTCTAGTTGCTCAATAAATGTTGCTGCTGGGCTCCCCCTTGAGTATGCTCCTATATGGCCAAAAACTTTTAAAACGCAAGATGTCGCCAGCTGAAAGTGAGAAAAACATTTTATTGAAAGACAGGAAATCTAAAATTTCCTGAAGATTTTTAAGCCAGAAAAATGGATGATATTAAGGCGCAGGCGCGTGAAAACAGTTCGGTGTTGTGTCGAATTGCACCGTGGGACTGTTGCGGAGAACCAATTCGGATCCAGTTTCCTGTGTAACTTTGTAATAGGCTGATTTAGCAACAGAACGGGAACGTCATTTGACGACGTGAAAGCGCGCGGAAAGGACTAAACTCGACTTCCGGTGCCCAATTTGCCGCTCTGCAATTGGTCAAGCCAGTTGTTTGATTTGCGTGCGCCGTCGTTAACTAACGTTCCCGTTCTGTCGCTAAATCAGCCTAACAGCCAGTAGATGAATCGATAGCATCCGCAAAACAGTCCCATGGTGCAACTCGACACAACACCGACCCGATCTCACGCGCAAGCTCCCAAACTGTCCAATATTCTGTGGTGAATTTCTACGGCCTTGTGGCGCAGAGAAACATGATAGTGACGATAAAGTAATACTTCACATCCCGGAAAAAAAAAAGAAAAAAAAAACAGATGCCCTGGAAAAAAGCCGGGAGAATATCGAGAGGAGGTTGAAGCACAATTATTGAAATTAAAGTTTAGAACTAGTATAGGCCGGTTTTTAGGGAGAGGAATCTCATTTCTTTGAGGAGGTAACATTAGCGCCGAAGGTCTACGTGATCAGCGAACCGGAACTGGAACAACAGGCCTTTTTACAGCTGCGTGCTCACTGCCCGGCCTTTAAATAGAGGCGACGCTGTAGGTGACCTTGTCATGCTACAAACCTTTCTGCTTTTCAAATGCAACAAGTAATATTCTCATAACACCAATCACATGTGACAATGATCATTTACATGTGAGAAACTGGACGGTTTGTAACAAAACAGGGTCACTTCCAGGCTCGCTTCTGTTCAAAGGTCAGGGCACTCAGTACACAACTGTAACATGACCTAATAGACCTTTCCCGCATTCCTGTAAACAAAGACACCAACTCGAGGCTCGGCTGGACAAAATACAGTGATTTGTATGAAACTGTCCACCCAAGCCTCGTCCTCATTTCTTTGTTTTTGCTCACTGGAGCGTAACGTGGGAAAGGTCTATAAACGCCCGGGGCGTCTATTTATTTAATTCCAGGGGTCCGAGCAAGGATGTTTGATAGACAGGAGACGTTTATTCTCATAACTGTAACAAGCTCAACAAAACTAATATACGTTGGGCAAAAATATCAAGAGAGTTTAAAAAACTGCGGAGTATCCACTCCATCAGTTTATACGTCTAGGCCATCTAGAGATCCATATCGCTCTTTCAAATCCCAACATCGATGTCAAAATCCTCGCCCGGGGATATTGTGGTGCCATCGTTAGCCTAACCTTCCTTTGAACTTAACATTGAACAAGATACAATACGCAAATCCTTGTTAATCAAGCAAGAAACTGAAAGAATTGAATGATTTTGCTCCTTTTTGCTAATTCCCAAGGGCGTCTTCAATGAATACTTTTCTTAGTTTTTGGTCAACCAATAGGTTGACACCATCGATCAAAGACCCGTCAAACCGGTTAAACCACTTAAAAGTAGTACATGATTTAATTACATGACCTTATCTTAGGGTACGTTCCTTTGGGATGATCCGGATCAGGATCAGTGATATGAGATCACTCGGATCATGGCAGGTGAGATGAGCCGATGAATCCACTCTGGACCACGATTTATCGGTTCATTTGATCTACCATGATCCGAATGATCTTGGATCACTGATCCTGATCCGGATCATCCCAAAGGAACGCACCCTTAATGAGACCACCGCATTTTGTTTATGAGATAAAGACAAGATGGCTTTGACGGTGCGTCCTATACTACTAAGGGTCAGTGAAAAGGCACGTTTTTCCACCTAGACAACGTCAATGAATCGAAAGGCGTAGGTTGGCATCATGGAAAGAAGTCAACGGCAAATGCCGCTTATACTCTCGTACCACCATCCTTAGAGACCTTACGGAGATTTCGCAAAGACGACGAAAACGGCAACGTGAACTTCAAAAAGCGAAAGCTTTAAATAAGCAAAACAGTAACAACTCTGCACGTGCAGCACGTAATTTTTGTACATTTCCTTGCCGTCACTGCACGACTTCAAACTGAAATTCCCTCACGGAACGTCTTATGGGAACGTAAGTGCACTACGACGACTACGACGGACTTTTATTTCTCCTTTAAACTTGGGTTTGGTCTACAAGAATTCAATACCAAGGACATTTTGCGTGAATTGAAATAATCGCGGGTACTTTGTAACAGTGACGTTTTCGCTACCCTCACCGTCGTCGTTGCTGAAGTTCCCTCTCACGATCCGACGACGACGACGCTAATGTATAGACTAGCAAACAAAAGCTAAGCACGTGCTCCACGCATTTTGGTACATTTCTTTACCGTCACTACGAAGTCTTCTTAATACCATGTGTCATGCGAACATTTTTTATGTTGTCACAAGGCAAATAGAAAACTTTTAAAACATGTTAAGTTTACTTTAAATGAGACGATAAATTAGTTTTATATTTTTTCATATCATAATAAAGATACAATAGACTGTCCTCCTTGTTTGTCCAATATGTTGCATACTAGAATGCAAACGTTCCTATTCACACA